AAGCTCAGAAAGAGCCAAAGATATTCCATTCAAAATAAACAAGCAGCGTTTAATCAATCCACAGCACATATCAATTAACTCAAATTGTTTACATAAGATTTTATTAGTTATGTAAATTTCTTGTATGTACAAAACAATGCCGTTTTTCAATTCCTAATTATGCTGAACTAATGACCAGTAAATATGTATAACTAATGAAAGTTGAACTAGTGTCACACTCTTGGGAAATAGATGTTTATAATAAAACAAAAGACATATACAATTATTATGCAAAATGCATAGACGTAATGATAAATAAGCATATGATAAGGGATTCAATTTATTGTTCAAAATAATAAACGAACATACTTATCATTTTTTCACAACAAAATATGTTGATCCTTAAAGTAACCTTCTTATATATTTGAAGTAATACATACGTACTGTAAAAGTAATACGAAATACCTGTCAGTTAAAGGCTATTATCTGATCTAGACAAAGTGGAAAAGTAATATTCCATAAGTATATTATTCAAAGAATCGTTAATTATAAATTTTCTTGAATGAACATTTGTAACATGGTTGTTAAGACAAGAAAACATAAAACGTGTTCTAAAATTTTGATTAGAGGTGATACTACTTTAGAGTACAGTAATATTAACGAAATATATACTTTTTTAATTATAAATCATGTAAGAATAGAGTCGTTGTTCATTGAGAACTGAGCATTGTTCAAGATGCTACTTTCCATACGATTACTTGCTAGAAGTATTGGACTAATTTGTCGCTCTATCACTCAGGATCATGCTTTGAAATCTAATAAATTTGAACGACACCAGCTGTTCAGACAACCCTTCTGTTACCATAATATCACCGTACATTTGAAAGTATTCTAGCTGCAAGTATGTTGAGGATTGCATTCTAGATGGAAACCCCTATGATGAATTTTATAGTAGTGACTGCTGTTTCCATGCATTCATACTGCTTTGGTCTGTGCACTCGGGCAGTATCACAGACCACACACAAACCAAGTGACGTGTGGTGCATATGTATTCGGTGACCTTTTGTACCAATATTTATGTGTTCAAATAAATAATTAAATGATTAGAGTATGAACAATATGAGCATACTAAGATAATGGCATAACCGGAATGACAGTTGCCGAACCTTTGAAATAAAAGATATGTTAAATAGTTTATCTGTAATGGTTCATTTGGATGTTTCTTGTCAATTATATGTTCTCGATTAAATATTACTAGATGAAGTTGAAGTGAATCATTTCAATTGCAGTAGAGATATATAGTTTTTTGAATATTGCAAGCTACTATATTTTTTGTCGAAACCAGAGTATAGATTAGCATTCAGAATTCAATATTCACTTATTAGGAAACTAAAATGTTAACTCTAACAAGAAGTAACTGTAATAGCTCATTACTTTGTGTCTTGACGGAAACATAGTAGTGAATCTGTAATATGTTATTATAAAAAAGTAAATAATGGTAGATGGAAAGCTGTGATAATAGGCTTAATTATAAATTCCATTGAGAAACCGTAATTGACGCATTTCAAGGAACACGGTTTTTAATATTGTCATTAAGTGATCATCTTATTGTAAATATAAAGCATTGATATCCAACACTAGTCTTACAATGTTCAATACAAGATCAGATAGATCTGGTTTCAACCAATGTAGACATTGTGATTCATACAATTCAACAGTCACACACAAAAACCTATGTTCTTCACCTGAATCTTAACCATCGTCCAAAACTATGTTCAAGCTGATTATAATTTGTATCAGAGGGGGTTTTGTGGAGATTGCAGTAATTTTAATAGTTGAGATCATGAGTCAATTGAAGCTGGACCACCATGGTAAACCTGGAAGCACTGGATGGCCGTTTCGTCCTATTGTGGTTAAGGACCTGGCACGAGACTGATAAGTCCTGTGTTCGACTACCGCGGGTAGCGTGATCGTGGATCCATACTGCTGAGGAGTCCTACAATAATATGAAACGGCTATCCAGTGCTTCCAGGTTTTTCATGGTGGTCTAGCTTCATTTGACTCATGTTCCAAACTATTGTGGTTATAATTTACCAACGTTCACAAGTTGAAAATCGATCACAAACAAAACATACTTAAATTCAGACATTTTATGATCATTCCAAACGAGAAAAAAAACTAACAAACTGAAAAGAAATTACGGAGAAACATTTCCATGCTTCATGAATTTTTCGATTTTATCATCCAAAAAAAATTAAAATGTTTTAACAAACATTCATTGTATATGGTTCTCTTTTCAAAATCATTTATAATTATAACTGATTTTATCGTGAATGTGAATGACAGCACACTGTCCAGAGAATTTTTATCAGAAGGGGTTTTGTGGAGATTGATTGAAATCACGAGTCAAATCATGAAGACAATGGTTTACGTTGGCGCAACTACGGGGATTGGTTGAAGTTAGACATTAACACCGTTGGATGATGGCCAGCTCATTGGCCTACTTTGTTAAGCGCCTGGCGCAAGACGGATAGGTCCTGGGTTGGAATCTCGTGGGGTGCAGGATCGTGAATACGCACTGCTGAGTAGTTCCATACTAGGACGAAACGGCCGTCCTGTGCTTCCAGGACTTCCATGGTGATCTAGCTTCAATTGACTCATGATTTCAATCAGCAAAGAATTTTTGTTCGTTTGGGTAAAACAAAAAAGACACTGAAATAATATTAAATCTTATTCTCATGAACATATTCAAATACATAGGTTGTGAAAATCTTACTTATAAACATTGCTTTCTACTAAAAACGAGAGTTCAATAAAATAATAATGTTTATATATTGCTCCATATGTCATAATTCGAATTGGGGTTTTTCTTTAAAAATCGACGCTTTATGTAAAGGTATTTGATATAAACACACAATGAACAAACTTCAGATTTGATAATAATGTTTCTGAGATGGTGGAGAAGATTTGTAGCTCAAGTGGATGATTTTGATGGAGTTTTGTTCTCTGAACTGGATGATTTGGTCTTCGAGTTTTCATCGTTCTTCTGAACAACGACATCGGCACAAATTTCAAGTAGAAGTGAAGTGTTTGAAATTCTCCACATGTGGTTCACAGCTTTTCCTGTACACCTTAATTTTGATGGGAGATACAACCAAAACAAAAAAGTAAACAATGACAAGTTTATGGTCAACAAGAACCAATCAACATCGAGGTGTACAGAACATGCTGTGAACCACATGTGGAGAAATTCGAACACCTTATTTCTACTTGAAGTTTGTGCTGATGATGTTGTTCAGAAGAACGACCATAGATCCACAACCAAACCATTCAGCTCAGAGAACAAAACTCCATCGTTCATTTTCGGATTGATCTGTTCCTCTATTTAATGTTTACTGGAAAAACAAAGATTTTTCATAGAAGGTTTTTGACTCACTTAACCTTTCCTTTTCTTAATATGTCAGAATACTCAGATTATACAACCATTACATTTTAGTTTCCAAAAGTCAAGAATAATAATATGTATTGAAAATCAAATGGAAATTATTTCTAAAACTAAGAATCTTATTAGATTACCATCCCTAGTTTCATATTATATTTATGAAATATATAGCGAGTAAAAAAATGCCAGTTTCATTTTAAGGAAGCAAACTTTGATTATCTGAAACAATTGTCAGTAATAAAGTACCATCGGTATTCTGAAAACATGCCATCCGTATACTTTATATGACCAAATAAATGAAATAACTTTTGTTTGAAAAATATTTCCGAACATACCGCATATTTCATCTTTTCATCAGCTAAGAACAAACATTGTTATTTATGTTTCTATGATCATACTTTAATACATTTCTTTAAGAAACTTTACCATTTTTCAATATATACTTAATGACCACCATCCAAAAGTTTCCCTTTGATATTTTACATAAATACGATTGAAATCGGTATTTTATTCTTAGTGAGCTTACTAAAACTATCATAGGTTATAAATACATTATCAGTGTCAATTACCGGTGGCATTATTATTTAAATGAATGCGATTCACTCTTTTTAAAACGTTTTGTTTTTGTTGAAATGAGGTTTTACCATGAATAATAATATTTTATATTCTTACCAAATATTTTGTTTTTTATCCTAAAAAGTATGAAAGTTTTATGAAACAACAGGTCAGAAGTTAGTAATCGCTAAACATAATTTAATGTCTACGAATTTAGTTTGATAATCTAAAGTACTATTTTAAGTGTTACTATTCGGTATATCTTCTAAAAAAACGTTTGAAGATACCACATGATCATGCCATCTCCAGTTTCTTGCATGATGGTAAATCAGTTGATGAGGTTGTAAATCTTCATCGATTGAGATGGTTGTGCCACATGTTACGTATGCCTGAACACCGATTACCACGACGCGCAATGCTGAATAGTGTTGGAGATGGTTGGAAGAAAGTTAGGGGTGACCAAACCAAAACGTGGCATCAGTGCTTGAAGTCACTAACTTTTAGTCTGAGCTACGTTGGTAGATGCAGACGACCTGGTTGGGGTCCACGCAGCGATCGTAACCAATGGTTGGAGACATTGGGTGGCATGGCTCAGAATCGATCACATCAAAATGATTATTTTTGATATATGCCATTTTATGTACTGAGAGTATCATATACGTTATTTCAAAATAAGATGGTGGTTGAAGGTAGTCAACAGGAAACCCCGAACCCGGGTTTCGTGCTACTTGACACTCGTCAGCAAGGTGTACCTGTAATCATGAGGGAACTGATGATCCGTGATGAATTCGATCCCCTGTCACCCAGCTTCACAGTCAGAGAAGTTACCACTGAAAACGATTCATCACAACATGATTTGTTTTACTTGTTTTGACTAGTAAAATGTGTTTATTATGAAAAAGAGAGAATACGTGACCATCCATTAAATTATCGTGTAAGATCAATTCTAATTTCATGATATATATTTTTATATTACTGTATCTTCAAAATTCCAATGCTTACAGTCTTTTGCAAATATTATTAGGTGATGCCTTGATGTTTTGGCAACTATACACAGAAAACAAGTTGGATTAACCAGACAAAAAATATTTTCACAATGAACATTAATGAAGCAGACTCGAATTATCAATTATTTTACGGTTTCAATGATCCAGAAGGACAAAATATAGCACTATCCGCTACTAGTATGATTAAACCAATTCCAAATGAGAAAGAATTGTTTCTTTTTGACAAAACATCACGTACAACTGGATATGGTGGATTAGTCTCTGCGAGACAGCTACATTTTATCTGTGGACCTTATCCAGAGTCAATAATTGATGAAAATGTAATATTTGACAAGATTATACAAACGATTATTTTACCCATCTTATTAATTATGTTGATTTTATTCAACAGTTTATCACTTGCTGTTTTAACTAGACCTACTATGAAAACACCTGTGTTTACCGTATTATTAGGTATTACAATGGTGGAAATGTCCAATGGATTGTTACCTTTACCAATGTATTTACTCAGAGCATTTTATAGTGATCCTGTTTGGTGGGAGTATAAAAAATATACATTGTATAATTTAACACAAATTTCAAAATGGTGGAAATATGCTCCATTAGAAATTTATCAAACAAGTTCAAATCCTACAGCAAGTGGAATACTTGCATGGACTACAGTATTTTTACCAACTGTTTGTCATACAACAGCTACATGGTTAACATTATTTGTTGCATTACAACGACTTATTTACATTACATATCCTAATAAAGCTACAAGATTATTTTCTATACTTACAGTACGTTTAGTTTGTATTAGTGTATTATTATGTGCACTAATTTTACATATACCAATGTTTCAATCAACTTTTGTTCGATTTCAACCACTTCTTCTACATCAAAATGTTACTTATAGAAATTATTCCATTGATTTTAAACAATTATTATTATATGAAGCATTAGATTATTTACCATTTGTTGTCATGAAATGTCATACATGTTTACCTATTCATATGTTTCTATATTTTTTAACTCGCGTCATACTTGTACATTTATTACCTTGTATATTATTAATTATATTAACCATAATAATCATTATGAAAATGAGACAAATTAATAGAAAGCATTTATGGCTTACACGTGGTAAATTATTATTACAATATTCTAAAACATTATCTACATATAAACAAACCAAATCTTATTCATTACCTATTAGTTCTTATAAACATAGTTTATCACCAGAAACAACGAATATTTCAAAACAAGATCAAATCATTGATCATAAAGTTCAAAATAAATTGAATTGTTTCACTTGTTTGATAAACGACAAAACAGATACACTCTATAGTAGTAATCAGGAGTTTCATAATATTCAATCTAAAAATTCTACATTATCAATATTATTGAATGGTAATGTTAATAATGATGAACCAAATCAAGAGAATGATACTTTTATAAATTTAATAAAACGTAAATCACAAGTAACTGAATTTTTTAATATTTCCAATATGTTAATAGTAATATTAATGAAATTTATTTTAATTCATTTACCTAATGCATTAGTGATATTTGTATATACATTAACATTAATACAAAATAGAATATATGAATTGACTACTAATTATAATGATATTATAAGTAGTTCTACGAGTAATATTAAAGAAACTATAACCATTTTCAAAAATACAAATCAATCAATAGTATTACCTTATACAGTCATGAAATATGTAAATCAATTACATAATACAAATACAATGATCTATATTGATGAAGGACCTACAAATGTATTATGGATAAGAATTGTAATCATCTGTAATCTTTTAATATTATGTTCATATTTATTAAATTTTTTAATATTTTGGACAATGTCAACACCATTTCGAACACAATTTCTAAATTTATTCCGATGTAAATCATTGAGAAATGACAATGTTAATGTTTAAACGAAATTGATCATTATGGCTTTGTTGATGCTTGTATTCATGTCTATATATGTTAATATCAAAATTCTGTTGTAAAAAAAGCGTTAGTTTATATAACAAGTGAATAGTATAGAAAAAAATTATTTCAATAATCTAAGTAAACAACTTGTGTAAATATGTTGATGTAGGTGATCTTTTTCTCCTAGTTATCATACTTCATATCAAAGAATTCAATTAACCAAGTCACTATTGACTCAATTTGTTTACCTTTTGAAGAATATACTACATTTCTAAACAATAATATTCGTAATCGAAACGTATTATTTATATTTCCTTGATAAAGCTTGAAATGAATTGCTAGGCAAAATGTGGGGTTAACTTCAGATTCTTTCGTTAGGATTTTACAAATACATTCTTCCCTGGTTGAAATCATGAGTCAATTGAAGTTAGACCACCATGGAAATCCTGGAAGCGCTGAACGGCCGTTTCGTCCTAGTATGGAACTACTCAGCAGTGCGTATTCACGATCCCGCACCCCACGAGATTCCAACCCAGGACCTATCCGTCTTGCGCCAGGCGCTTAACAAAGTAGGCCAATGAGCTGGCCGGCATCCACCGGTGTTGATGTCTAACTTCAACCAATCGACGAAGTTGCGCCAGCGTACACCATTGTCTTAAGTGAGTTGATATCTCACAACAGACTTGGTTGGACTCCACTGGTCACGGCTTCTCACTAGAACGCCAGGAGTATCTCTTGAATTCAGTCACTAGTGACAAGATGATTATTTATCAGAGAGGGTTTTGTGGAGATTTCGGAAATTTCACTGATAAAAATCATTAGTCAATTAAAGCTACATTCATACATTATTTCTCTTTAATGTATTAGTATAACATTTAAAAGATTAGTTTTGCAAACTCAAAGTTTTTCAGACAAAAATTACTCTGATATGCCAGAAGGGTTTTTGTGGATACTATAGTAATTGCAACGGTTGGGATCATGAGTCAGTTGAAGCCAGACCACCATGAAAAACCCGAAAGTACTAGACGACTGCTTTTTCTTATAGTGGAACTCCTAGTCAGTGACCAGTGGAGTTGAACAGGGTTTGTTGTGAGATAGTAAATCACTGAAGACATTGTTAGATATGTCACTCAGTTTCGTGAATTGGTTGAAGTTAGACATTAACACCGTTGGATGCCGGTTCAGTGGTCAAGTGGTTAGACACAATCGCGCGAGACTGGTAGGTCCTGGGTTCGGATCCCGCGTGGCAGGTTCGTGGGTGCGCACTGCTGAGGAGTCCCACAGTAGGACGAAACGGCCGTCTATTATGATCTAGCTTCAATTGACTCATGATCTCAACCATTGAAATTACTCTGATATTTGCTATTTGCTAACTAAAATGTAAGAAAGTTATTTGAACTATTTATTATAAAGTGTATATTCTCAGGAGCGAATCACACGTCTTCACAAATTAACAGTAAGAATTAAGTGAGTATAATTAGCTGACGATTATTAACTAGTATTCATGGGGAATATAACACTATGATCGTGAAACTATTTACAAATACTTCAGAGAAATAAGTAATTTAGTAATATGTAGTATTACAAAAAGATTGTCTCTAAATTTAAGTGGTAGATCTCTGTTTATCGCATCATCCTTAATGAACACTTGAAGCTGAATATCAACATAAAGTTAAACATGATACCTAATGTACAGTATATCAGTCATTAGAGCTCAGCATTGGTCAGATGCATCTACTGATCAGTAGTTATTTCTTCTGAATTTGTATCAATGAATTAGAATATGTATCATTCAGTTTTTTATTTAAAAATATGAAAATAACTACCCTATTTCATATATTACATCAATGTGATCAGTTGTCTTTTAACAAAGATTATCTTTTCATTGAATAAGATGTTCAATGAGACAACTGTCATGATATTGTACCGTTTAAATTATTTTTTGTTTAACTCAGGAGGTTAGATATGTTAATATCAATTAAAACAAAAAAATGTCTTTCATAAACTTATGTAATAATAATTTAATCTGATATTAAAGTTATGTCCTCATAAAAGTTTCACGCCATAATGGACTACTTCTGACACTAGATAGCCGTAGAAGATTGGTTTATGTTAAGTGGTTGCTAGAAGAATAGTTATTTTACCAGTTACATGGACATACTAAGGGATAAAATGAGTTTCATCAAATGTTTGATATTACTAGCTGTCATTTATAGTAGGATTATTTACTTGAGTAGCATTAAATCGTTTTAACCAACTTTGAATTATGCTGTCCGCCAATTCGTATGTACATTTGCCTATGCATTAATATTTGAAACATTATAATAAAAGCATAAGTTGACTGTCGACAATATAAGTTGTTGACTGATCATAAACACAAAACAGAAAAATTATAAAGAAATTTGAAAGTTTAAAAATCTTCTAAGTAACTCAGGCTAAATCAATTCGTAGAGAATAAGTGTCTGAACGATTGCGAAAAAAAAACACTTTCTTGGCGGACTATTCACATTTGTAACAAGAAAACGCTCACTGAATTTATTTAGTTTAGTTGAAGTTTATTCATACTATAGTTGAATAATGTTCATAACACTAGTAATCATAGAAACTTCAATTTTCTTCTAAAGAAACTTTATGTTACTTTCCGAAATTTCTATGAAGCGCGAAGTTACAATATCGATATGAAATATCTGTATATTGCGTGTAACCAATTTCATTTTTAAACATACAGAACACCATTTGTTTCATAAAATATTTTTTTGAAAGAACGTTGTTACTGATATGATGGAAAGAAAAGTCAATATACGATTGGTTTACACACTATGAGTTTTGTTCAAGATTACTTCTGTTCGATTCAATGTAATGATTACTCAATGTAGTATTTGCTTCCTTTCCTCGTATGATATTTTATTCTGTATAATATACGATATTCTTATGTTCCACTGACATGAACTATGCTCATTATGTGATTTGTTAAGTATTTTCCATATATGTGATTTCATCCTAATTATTAATCAAAATGGGTGTACAATCAATATATAAATGAGTGTATTATCTACTAGAGTTGTCGTCGTCGACGTGTTTTGGGGGTTAATAAATCTTCACTTATACCCGTCTTTGTTCTTACCTTCGCATCGTGGGAATTGCAGAGGTCCCTCGTTTCGAGCATAAGTGATAAGTGTTTCCGACATAACAATCAGCGACGACCAGATACTAAAACGTAGCATTAAAAGAGCCAAGACAATAAGCATTCAAATGACATGTTATAACAATTACATCATAAGATAGCTAAAAGGTATAATAGATTAAGTTGTGTTTCAGAATAATTTTAACAATCAGTTTGACAAAGATTCATTACTAGATTCATTTTCAAGTTTCCTTAGTTTTGAATAAACGAAACAATTGAATCGATATTCTTTTGAAAAAGATAGTATTGTTGTTTTGTAAATTAGTAATTCTTTAGAAGTAAGATTACATTTTACGAATGAACTATATTCGAACCTCCATAAATCTCACCCCTTTTAAAGAACAGATTTCTTTGAAGAACTGCACTTGTCAAAAATTCTTTATTGGCAAAAATAATACTACAAGTATGCCAGTGATGCAATGTGTAAATGTTAAGTATTAGTATATTTTTCTGTGACTAAGTTTCAAAGTAGTTCTGTGGTGTGTGTTACTTATATTGATATAAGTAGTATATTATGCGAGTCAGGAATGAAATGTCTGGCAGTAGAAGACGAGGGAAGATCAAGAAAGCAAGAGCGGGAATAGAATGCAATTTGTATGAAAATGTAAGAACAATGAAGTCTGAGGCATTTTGAGACAACTGGTGGATAGTTTGCAAATAAAACAATTTAATATATGGTTCTCAGATTTTATTGAGATGCTCTGTAATTTTGAGTATAAGGTATTCGACTGTCCCCACCCGTGTTCTGTTCACTGCAGGTCCACTTGCTAAAATGATAGCTTTTATTCTGGATGATATATTGGATCGGACTTGTCAAGATACTGTAGTAGTTTTTTCAAATCAACCGGCCATTGAAAAATTCGTCAAAAAAACACATAAATGACATAAAAGCTTTAAGAGAATGTGACAAACTATAAACATTTCTTCAAAACAATGGCTCGCAGAAAATAAAACTAAAGAGCTCATAAATTTTCAAAGACACATTTGATTATCGTTGATCGCAAAATTTATCAGCTCAATTTTACTCGAATTATCAACAAAGTGACTCCAAAATTTCTCACTATTAAAAATATCATCATTAAAATGCTCACATCTTACATGCGTACATAAGTATGCCTGTTAGTCCTCGTCGAGGGGCATAAGCTGCCCACCAGCACTCGCCATCCAACCCTGTCATGGGCAATCCTCTCCAGCTCTTTCCACTTGTTATTCATCCTTTTCATATCTGCTTCTATTTCCCGAGGTAATGTGTTCTTTAGCCTTCTTCTTATCCGCTTCACATCACGATTCCAAGTTAGGGCTTGGCTCGTGATGAGGTTTGATGATTTACGTAATGTATGTCCTATCCGTTTCCATCGTTCATCCTAGCCTTTACATTTGCATCCAGTCCACCACGTTCACCGATGATGCTTCTTAGGAACGTGAAGGATTTCACATCTACCAGAGTTTCGCCATCAAATGTGATTGAGTTAATGTTCTCTGTTATATTTGACCATCTTGCTTTTTCCTTTGTGTATGTTGAGGTCTAATGATACATGGGCTGCTGCTACACTAGTTGTCTTCATCTGTATTTATTCGTGTGTATGAAATAAGAGGGCTAGGTCATCTGCAAAGTCCACATTGTCTACTTGATTCTGAGCTGTCCAAAGTCGACCTCTCGACCGAGAATTGAACCCGGGCATTCTACGTGACAGACGGAGATATTCACCACAATACTCCGCCTGTAGCTCTTCTAGACGTACTACTAGTCTCAACGCCGGGTAAAAGAGAAGGATTGTGAATGAGGTCAGCAACCCCATCCCGAAAAATTATCTTGCTTAAACAACACTCACATCTAGAAGATATAAATTCTCAAGAATTTAATTATTAGTCTTATATAATTCTTTTGACTTTATTATTCAATATTCATTTCAACAATGTTTTATTTTTTTTTAACATTTCATCATTGCTTTCATGTTCTGTTAATTAGTTTTCTTGGTAATCAGTTTCATTTTACAACTATAGAAAATGTTTATTACTATATAATTTTATGTTTTGAGGATATACATCAAATTACTTCATGTGTATTACATTAAAAATTATTTATTTTTATGTTATT